GCTTGCCGGTGTCCAAAAACCGAAGACCCATGTAAACTTATTAAAAACTACATGGGAATGATGGCTATTTCATAACAAACTTCGTCACAGGCCAACAGGCACGTTATCGATAGGGTCATCATTGCGGTTAGTTAACTGATAGGGTCTTTCTTTAGTAGAAAAAACTGGGGCAAAAGTCCACTCAAAAGACTTGCGCTTAAAAGCTTTTTTTGTCCCCAAAATCCACCTTTTACGCTGGCTACATTCAGGTAGCAGGGCTATTCGTAGACTGCAAAACAGTCCTTATTTTTGCGTATTCAAGTACGCGCGAGCAGTCAAACAAAAGGTCTGGAACGAGGCTGAAAACAGAGAGCGAGACCGGGCAGAGAGCCTCGCGCGCGAAGCGCGCGTAAGACTCTTACGCCACGCTTTACTGATTCTTTACTGATTTTGAGAAAAAAACCGACTGTTTTGAGGTCTAGGGTCTTCGTTCTAGTTCGTACAAAAAGCCTGGTCACACTACAAAATCGATACAAGGGACGGCGAGCTCTCGTTTGTAGTTTTACCCGGCTATTTCTAAAAAAGACAACCCTATCAACATAGCCTGCACTACAGACGGAACTAATCTTCGATTAAATTATGTCTGCAACCCAGGTTTGAACGAAACCATTAACAATACGATAACTGACGCCGGTGCCTGTTGGTCTGTGAAAAAGTGTGTTATGAGTTGTCCGTCATCTCCAGTCATCTTTATTTAGTTTTACATCAGTTTACATGGATCTTCAGTTTTTGGTCTTCGATGTGCGGTTTGTTAGTCTGCAAAACAGTCCGTATTTTTGCGTAGTCAAGTGCGCGCGAACAGTCGACGAAAGGTCTGGAGGTCTGGGTCTGGAGTTAGGCTGAAAACGGAGAGTGAGACTGGGCAGAGAAGCTAAAAATACCGTATTTTTCTCTTGGAGCTTGTGGAACTCTGACGCCACACCGGGGCGTCGTGTTTTGATGAAAGCGATTTTGCATTTTGAGAACCGACTGTTTTGAGGTCTAGCGGTTTGTAGACATCCACTTGCTGCCCTAAAACTGCGATCGCAACATTCTAACATCAATACCACTACCATAAGCAAAGAGCTCGGTGGACGTACTTCTCTTATTAGCACTTGAGAGGAAAAGACGCCGACGAACATCTAAAATGATCAATATTCAATAATGGCTGCGACCCCACCACTGGGCGTAGCCAGAATATTTACAATTATATTCATTAAAAAATTCCACGGCCGTTCATTGTAGTTGTTAGGCCGGATAGGTTACTAACTAACCTGTTAAATTCTCTCTAAATAGTTGATTATTATTCAAAATTATCGAAACATACGGTAATTTATGCACCTGCTGGGCTAGTCTAAGGCATATGTAAATTCCGAAGAAACAAGAGATCACCTCCGTCGGCAATATATAGTTGTTATTATTCTTATTATCATTATTATTATTATTAGTTGTAGTATTATTATTATTATTATTATTATTATTATTATTATTATTATTATTAAAGATGAAACAACAACAACATGATATTAATTTGAGGAGGACTCGGAAAAAAATCCGAGTCCCAGATGGGATTTGAACCCACGACCCTCCGTCATCTAGTCGGATGCTCTAACCACTTGAGCTACTGGAGACTCTATGGTGAGCAAGGGCCAATTTGTGGGTCTCGACTGGAACCGCATCACGCGGCTACACAGCCAAGTAATGATAGGCACACAAGAAGTGAA